GTAGATGAGGCGCTTAGGGACATGGTTTAGTGGGCATGGTGGTGTTTGGTTGACGGTTGGACTCGATGATCGTAGAGGTCTTTTCCAACCTTAATGACTCTATGATTCTATTCCATAACTTTTGCCTTCACAGCTTCAGGGAAAGGCAGGAGAACGATATTATTTGTATTACTACGATGCACTCACTTTAAAGATTCATTTATTCTTAGTCCTTAGTGCTTGCAGTAAGATCACTTTAAACACCTTTTAATGCAACAAACAGATTTTCCAGCAAAAGATTTCCCATTTTGCATCTTTGTAGCTGACACTTAAACATACAGTTTGCCAGAATTAAGGAATCCTGTCCTAATTTGCAAAGAGACCAGTTTGCAGAGAGACTGCATGCTGGAATGGTTGTAGATTCCCAGAACTAATTCTCTATCCAAGAGGTAAAATAGCTTTATAGGTAGTAAAAAAGAAATTAAATAAAAATCTTAAAATAGAAAAAAAAATGAGAAGGATTGTTTGTTTGTTAAGGAGAGAGGGTAAGAGTGTGTGTGTGTGTGTATACATAAATATATAAAATTCAGTCAAGTTGAGGACATATTAAGTAATGTTCCCTTACTAATCACTATAGTAATTAACTAGATAAAACTCCATCCTCATTTCAGCAGCTTCTGATGGCACTCCATACTACCATTTGGTCTGGGAATCCAAAAACTCATTAATGTGCAATGAGACCACCACTATGATTTTGTTGTGAGGCTTGATGTCAAATAGCTACATCACAATCAACTGAAAAGTCAGGGGAAAAAAGATTCTGCAAGTCTGTAACTAGTTGTAGGTATTCTATGAAACATGCTCCTAGCAGCTGTCAAGCCTAAGAAAAGAAGAGGCCTTGTTCTTAATCAAGTTACTGAACTCAGGTAAAGCTCAATTCCACAAATTCTTTCCAAAACAGTATGTTTTCTGCCTGTATTTGTGTCCAGAACACTTGTCCTCTAGAAGCACACTGCTACATGGGCAGAACATTTGTAAATGGTAAGTTACCTCAGAGTACACTGGGAAGGAAGCATACAGAAAGCAACTGAAATCCCATTCTGCATTTATTTATGAAATCTATACCATGTTTTCCCCAGAGATTTGCATCTGTCTTCTACACAAACATAATGGAGATCCTACAGGTTTCCCTATACACTATTTTCTGGCAGAAATCTAGGGCAGAAAAAAGTTCGAGTCTAATGCCCAAACCAAAGCACAGCACTACAGCTTAAAAAAAAAAAAAAAAAGGGATTATGGCTCATGTCTTACAATCAGATAATTTTTGTTTTATACATCAACATATTTCCTTTTCTTAACATCAAATGGTTAAGAATGCCATACCTTTTTATCAAATTGCTATTTATCCTATTAATTACATATGCCTATACTGAAGGAAAACTAAATTTAAACTGCATTTTCCCCTGACACTCTATGACCCCTAGTACATCAGCCTCCGACTCCTGACCTTGTTCTCGGTCTGCAGGCCCTTCAGGGACTACAGAGCTTGCTGTTGCAAAAGCCATTTCAGAAAGTTTGCAAGTACCAAAGACCATGCTGACTCCAAGAGCATTAGCACATCCAGCCAAAAGTCTCTTCAATCTAGTAATGAAGAGTCATCTGGACTATCTCACCAAAAATAGATCAAGTGAATCCAGCAGTAGGAAAACATGCTGGATTGTCTCCTGCAGCAATAGCTTCTGTTTTGGGAATGTACCTTCTCTTTGGAAAACTAGTGTTTTAAGGGAGTTTGTGCTGCTTGTTGCCTACATTGAACTTAAGACACAATGCTAAGAAGCAAGGAAATGATCTCTCCTCCCTTCCCATTTCTAGATCTTTTAGGAAGACAGGAAATCACTGCTACTCAGTCATCTATACCTCACGCTGTACATCTAACCATGCCTTCCTTTTCTCTCCTTGCCTTTTGCTCCCCTCCCATTTGTTACTTTTTCTTTAGCTCCATTTAAAGTATGCAAACACCTTCCCATCAGTCTTTCTCCTGGCACCTCCCCTCTCATCCCCTGTTACTGTTCACCACTCTGCTCGCTTTGCTCCCATTCCTCAGTTCACTTCAATACTTGCAGGACAGAGGGTTCGTCTGTACTATGGGAAGGCTGTGCTAGGCAGCCTGTCCAAGAGGCAGTTGTCTACACAGATGATAACCCACAGACATCCACAATGGTGTGGCTAAAACCCAAATATACCCCATAAAGTAGGGCTGACAGACAGTAAGATCCTGGCTTTGAGCAAGCTTCGCAACAAAAGGTGCACAGCCCACCTTAGATATTTTTGTGGAGTGCGAGGCAAGAAACCAGGGAAATAGCAGTCAGCCAACAGATGGAAATACTTTGGCTCAATCTGTTATTAAGAGAGCATTTCTCACTTGTGGTCTTGCTGTTCACCAGCAGAACTGTTGTTATTGGCTTCCAACTTGTTACCTTTTGTTAGTTCTCTTGCATCTTTAGAGTTACAAAGGACTTAAAATTCAGTTGTTTAGTACTCTGATTGCTATAACCAAGCTTAGCTGAGCATTTCACATCTCAAACTCTTAAACAGAGTAAAAATTCTATTGGGGAAAAAAATTGGGAAGACTTACCTAGTATTGGGAAAACTTACCTAGTTTTAACATCAGTTTTTAGGTATCTGTATTTCTAAGATTAACTTCTTATCCCAGCAGTTTATTAGATCCACTTAATGAACCAAATAAAAACATGAACAAGTTAGTTGATTAGGACTCCACAGATCACGTTCAGGGAAACGGCATTTACGTCCCTATTACTCTGCCAGGGTAGGCAAAGCATTAGAGTCATTCAACTTACACTCAGGTTTTCTGGTTTGGGGTTTGCTTTGGTTGGTTTCAATCTAAGTTCATGTTCTATTTTGACCAGAAGTTTGTACCCTGAATTCAGAGATTAGCAGCAGACATTAGCAGTTTAAGGAAGTACTGGTCATTTCAGATGAGCAGCCTTTGGGGGAGGGAGGGAAGGTTAGCCTTCACAAAGCTTTATCTTTAGACAAACATATTCTGTGTGAGACATTCAGAATGAGCATTTTGGCTATCACTATACAGTTGGCAAAGCTGAAGAAAAAAGGCACTTGTTAGAATTCAGGAGAACAAGCTGTTACAAGATTATAAGATCACTCCAACATTTGAGTAATGTACAGTGCTACAGAGGATATTTATTTTGCAATATATAAAAAAAATCAAATTTAAGTGCTTCCCATTTCTCTCAGTGAAAAAGCCGAAGCAAGACATATTTCTTCAACTTGGCAGAGAAAGTTCTTGGGCTTCTCCCAAACACTAATCATATATTCATTCAAAGTGAATGAAAAAGGAAAAAAAGCCCAGCAAAGGTTGGTGCTTATGGTGATGCATCACCACCAGATACAAAGGACTGCTTCCCCCTCCTTTAGAAGAGGTGGGAGATGTAGTAATTGCAGAAGTGAAAGCTGACCACTGTTCCCCAGGGGCCTCTAGCTCATCGAGTTCACAGAGGGGTTTTATTTCACACAGAGGTGCCCCAAAGGATGCACATTTCTTTAAGATTTTAAAGAATGAGCCCATCAAAAAAAAGTGAGCACCTTTGTACCTTTGCTTTGTCACACCTGAAGGAGGGCTAAGATTTCTATATTTTTAATTACTCTGGAAGATCATGTCCGGCAGCACAGAATGGAAAGGAAAGGTGGTAAAACCAGACTAGGATGTGCTGGGCGGCACGGCTGCAGGTGTTCTGTACAACAGTTCACCAGCTAGGAAGTAGTAGGGTTAAGCACTAGACATGCCACTGCAGCACAGCACGCAACAGCCGCTTCCTCAGGGGAGCGCACGTACAGTGAGTATCTGCAGGTGTAAGATTTATAGCATTTTAAATGCTAGGTGGAACAAAGTAAAGGTTTTAGGGGGCATTTTCATTAATCGGTGGTATTTTCAGTATTAAGGCAAGAGATGATGGACTATCCAGAGCTCTGAAGTCATACTGAGTATGCAATTCCTACCTCCCCCCCCCAAAAAAGCTAATAATCAAACTAGGCCAATTACTCTGATCTTGCAGAAGTTACCCTTTTGTTCCTAGTTTTTTTGCTCACTTTGTTTTCCCTCAAACTGCCTTTCTACTTAATTAAGAAATAACAAATAAGGTAAAGCTGGTAAATGCATAGTACGTGAGATATTACCTAAATGACGCACAGAAGCTAATAAACTACCACAGTTAACAGCAGGTCAACTTTTACCTTCATTTATACCTGCATTTCAGCCAAATTTTATTGATTCTTAATTTGATAAGTTCCTTTTTACAGATATTTATCGCTAAGCTTTCCATGCAGAGGTTTTGAAAGAGAAGGAAGTTACCAGACTTCGCCAGCGTAGGTGATCCGGGTGGAGAAAGGTTTATGCCAGGTGACAGGTAAAGATAGTTTCTGTTCACTCCAGCATTGAAATCGAAGGGTGATTTGTAATCCTCATACAGATCCATGCCAGAAAATTCAGAGTGCGCAGCCGTCCTCTTCTTCCACCAAAGCATTCATCTTTACTTTCTGGGGCAACCCGGACAGCAGGATTCAGAAACCCTCCGTTTCTTCACATGACACTCACTGTACCTCCTCATAAAATTCAGCGCTCTTACACCTCTGTTAGATTTGATAGAGCCATCTAGCAAGTGATTTCTTAGCCATCTCGTAGCTGCTGCTGTTTACAAGGCACGAAGTTAAGCTCCTGTAAATTTATAACCAGGGCTAGACTTAACAGACCGTTCCTTTAACAAACATTCACAGCGTTCATGGCTTCTGGAAGAGCCTTGGTCCTCTGCAGAATTGCATCAACAATTTTCAATCATTTAAATAAAAAAAGGTCAGCTGACTGCAGCTACACCAGGATATCCTTAATCTTCTAGGACACAAAAGGATTACTAGCCGTAATCTATCCTATATACCATCTGTGTAGGACTTTTTCCTCTGATTAATGGAAAATTCTATGTGCGTAACTATTTCTCCAGCTGCTTCCACCACTGTAATGACCAGCAGCCAGAACACAGTCCCTGCGGCCCAGGTATCACACTGTAGTGCGAGCTCAGTATAGGAGAAAGCAGCACTCATCTCTGAAGGCTATGCTATAACCACCACCTAGGTTTTTTAATGAATGTGCTAATGTGCGTTATGATTTTTGCCCATGAGGCTAAACATATCTGGGTATGAGGCGTTTTGGGGTTTGTTTTGTTTTTTAAAAATGTCTATTGAAGTGCACTGCCCTATGTCCTTGGTGCTTCAGCCAGTGTCATTTAGAGAGCCAGTTACGCCAGGAACTGGTAACACTGGAATGCATTGTCCTGATGAAACGCATTTATGTTTTGACACGTATACCATAAAGAAAGATCAACTTACATAAGCCATCTGACTTCATGCTGGGGGTATAAGGTTTAGCCCAGAGAAGCAGAAGTGCTTCTTACCTAAAAGAGGCACTCAGCCCAGTTTTGCAGTGCTTCACTACATTTTTTTTTTCCTTCCAAGGTCAGCTTCTTTCACTGAAAAAACAAGCTGACTAGCAGTGTAGATCACCTTTACAGCTGAGCAACAATTTCCTCCCAACCCCACACCTTCACCTGGGCTCTTCACTGCAGCCTGCACACAGAGGAGCATAATCAAATGTAAGTTAATCTTTTCCTCCACCGTAAGAGTGATGTTTTAAGACAGAGCTGATCAGAGACATTACACCACCCTCTGCTCAAAGCCATAGAAGTGAAGGAGCCTTGCAGCATACCCAAGTCAGGCCTGGGCAATGTATTCCCTGGGGATACGAGAAGAAAGCGTACCACTTCTGAAGTTTTAACTTCCCATTTCCACTGCAGTCAGCAGGCACAGGAACAGACCTTCCAGCTAATTAAAGAGCAGTTCCTTTAAGCTGCAGACCCACATTGGCTTCTGGTGCAGACTACCTGCAGGCTCATAACAATGAGAGTGCCGGAGCCTGAAACACAGGTCTCTGCTATTTTCCGAACCCACTGAAAAGAAGAAAATATAATGCCCCTCTGCATTTCTGACATGTGGCTGTGGCATCTGCCAGAAATACTGCGAAGTTCACCTGACAAAGGTCAAAGCTTTGGTCACAGATTCTAGTTAAACCATCCAGAGGCAGCAGAGAACTGTAACACAGCTACAGTAATAATATACTCTCTATTAACCAAGCACGCTAATATGAACAGCTACCGATTCTGCTTTGCAGCCTTCCCCTCGTGTAACTCAGCAGACAGGGACTGCCTTCTGTACAAAAGGCTCAGGCAGTAGTTGTACTAACTGGATTAGGCAAAATGACAAGTTACCAGATGTGGCACACTGGAAGAGCTGGGTGTTTTCTACCATCGCTCTCCCGACACAGAGGGGGTGAAAGTGAGGCTACCCCCCAGGGCTTTTTCCCAACCCCAGAGAATCATTCAATGTAACACCAGTCAATGCTAGCAAGTGATGACAACTGAAAGTAGCTATTAAGGAAAAAGAACCCCTTATGAAGATCTGTTCATCCCTGCTAACAACAGGAATAACATTTCCTGGCCAAGGGCATTTACTGGAGTGAACGCTTACATTCTTGTCATATACAGGAAACTCCCTGCGTTCAGTTTTACTCCATACCATCCACTCAAAAAATCTGGTACTCTTCCTGCATCTTTATTGTGCAAAAGTTGGTTTCATGTCCCTAGAGACATCTGGATTGCCAGTCTAAGACTGCTGACCTGGCCTGTCACCGCTACAGACAGAAGCGTGTATGGGCCAAACTCTCCAACACATCTTCAGTGTAGTCGGAGAGACAAGTACAGGACATTGCCCACCGCTAGAGCATACCTTTGGCTTACAGGGAAGATTTGCTGAGTTACAAATCTGACCCTCCACATGAGAGGCTGAATTCTGCTTTTGCCCTGGCTTATGCATAGCCTGAGCATGAGTCCAGAAGTCAACCAAGACAATTCTTTAGTATTTAGAAATATTACAGTCCTAAGATCATTGCCAAGAGAGGGACCATGCAAGCACTCCTTACTTCAAACCACCCTCTTTGGTCAATCTAGCTTATAGCGGCCATACAGCTGGGTTGCTATAGCAGCTCCCAAACAAGCCGCCTAAACACACTGGCCTCCTGCTCTCTTACCTGCAGGAGTTTATGGGAGCATCACTCCTCGCTCATTCTCAGCTACAAATCCTACCTGGTGATGAAGGAAGCTGTGTCACTGAACAAGCTTCTTCCTCATCACCGAGGGAAGTTTGATGGTCTTCACCCTGAAGTACAAGCCAATCCGGCTGTAAGGAGAAAGGACAGCAGTCCATCCTTCCAAACCTGCTGTAAGACAACTTCTAGGCTACCTGTCATCCCTAACTCATCCGCTTCAGGGAAGACAAGTACTCCCCTGCCAGCCACAACAATCCATTTATCCGCTTCTTCCCCAGTAGCTCCTTAGCACACCCAGAGATTCAGGGCGAGCAAGGCAGCACTCCCACTATACTGCCTAAAGGCAGTCCGAAGATAGGCCCTGCTAGCTGTTAGTGTGGTGCACTTGGAGGAGGAATGAATTTGTCTCCAAGAGACTTTCCAAATTAAAGTGATGGCCCCAAGGAAACACAGCAGGATGGGGATGACAGACAGCAGCCTCATGGAACCAAAAAAAACAGGTTTTGCTCTGCAGTGTGAAGCTTTTTGATGAGTTTAGCAGCTCCCAACAGTCTGAACATAGCTAGGCAATGGCAGGAATCGAGATTTCTCTACACTATGAAAACAGGCTCATTATAAGGCCTTTCTAAAGGGCCCTCTCATGACCAAAATATCCCCCTGCATGGCCTTCCTCCTCCTCACTCTTCACAGTAATTGAGAGCACATGCAGCTGGCTGGAGGTGGAACTGAGGCTGTAGAGCCACACCCTGCTAGATGTACCCTGCCTTCCCCGTGCAAGACATACATTTTAGAGCTGAGCTTAAGTTTAGACTTCTGTTATGTGGCTTAGAGTAGTTATTGTGCATGCTCGAGTATCTTTGTTCTTTGCCCTGCATAGCAAATTCAATTGTTACAGGTGTACCTTGGTTGTAACTGCAGGTATCAGCTGCAAGCCAGTACCTGAAGAGATCTTGAAGCCTAAGGACATGACGCACCTGCTCCAGAGACATAGTAGCAGTGGGTTTTGCTCACTACACAAGAGATTAAAACTGAAGATTTTGCTGTTCCAGAACGAGTACTCATTTGCCCTTAACAACTCAGGATAACTAAGAGGTTGGTACTTAAGTCATCTATGCCATTTTAGAAGCTGATGTTTGAGAGACTAGCATGAAGGTAGATAACTTCTGTCAAGGATGCTTGAACCAATTACTGTGACATTCAGTTGAGCTTGTCAACGTGGCTCAGGAAGACTCGGCAAGCCTCAGCAAAGCATTACCATCACAACTCCTACCATTAATCATGTTGTAATCTCCTCTGTTAAGGTTAGAGTGTGCTTAAAGCTTTCCCAGGTAACTACTTAGCATCAACAGTCATCACAGATTGTGCACGTCATGAATCATAAGGGAGGGAACTTCCTGCACAGCTAGAAAAGCTGTTAAGTTTGAGCAAACACCGTTAACCAGAGATTTGCCTGCCTAGTCTCAGACATCATTCTTTCTTCAGATACCACCTGCTACCCAGGCCTGCAGCTTCCACCTTAGCCCAAGGCTCAAGCAGCAATTTAAGTAAGGCAATATAATATTAAAGCACTTCTACCTTGTCGGTAGCTAAGCAAGGATAAGGTGTTATGGTAGCCTAGCAGAGAAGCTGTTTTTCCCACATTCAGGTCTAGCAGAACAATAGTTTGTTTATACATGCAGAAGTTATATCCCTCTTTTTTCCCTAAAGAAACCAAACCCAGCTCAAGTACGACTGAATATCATCTCTGGGCTTTGAAGAAACTAAGCTATGTATTCAGTAGTGTTTCATACAGAGTTAAATTCAAAATGGAAAAGCTACCAACTAATGCCTCAGGATTGGAGGAATGCAGAGACTACCCTAGGACAAGATCCAAACAATACTTTGGATAAAGCTACCTAAATAACCAATCCACAGGATCTGTGTCTAATCAAATTAGAGTTCTGCTGCTACATAGGCACCTTCACCATCTTGCATGTCCTGCGTTTGTGTCCTGTTTAAGCACAGAGATGCCAAATTTGTGCACCACAGCCCATACTTTTGGCAAGCCTACCATGATTCCAGCACTTAATTCAGCAAGCAAAAGAGGATAGGGGAAGATGAGGGGAAGAGTTTGTTGTCAAAGAGGGGGAAGAGGCACTTGATGTTCTGGGGGCATAGCAAAAAGATCCAATCTCTTATTTCAAGATTGATAAGATTCAACTGCCTGCTCAGCCTACACCTGGTTTGAATTTGCATCTTCTGTAGTCTGCTAACAGGCAAGACTGACTGGAGAACTTCCACTAACTGTGGCTGGGGTAAAGACTTCCAGCCAGGTCTTCCCCCACCCCCATCTTTCCCACATAGATCCCAATCAGGCAGCAACAGTCAGGCTCC